TATAGGCCGATCTGCCGTCGATCACTACGAACTCGGCCATCTGCGTTACTTGGGTAGCATCTTGCCCGATTGTTACCGGCAGGTCGATGCACCCTTCTGGGGAGACCGATTCTCTAGAAAATCAAACCAAGGGTGTTGGACTTTTCTTCAATTGTAACCTGGTCCATCCCAATGCTAGATATGTTGGGAGGGACAAGATGTTGGCAGATGCACCTCCATCAACCAATACTCGTCGGACCAGGATGTGATCAATAAGAGGGGCGATCACGAGCGCGTCATTGTGAGGCAAGTGGACCCCGTCCAGGTCCACGTCGCCGAAAGTGATGGAGCAAGTAGGTTTCTGCTCCCTGATGTTGCACACCTCGCGCCTGGCCTCGCGAGCTAGCTGTTTCCTCTTGTTTCCAGACTGGCCCCCGCTCGGGCCTCCGAAAATAGTGTTGATGACCGCAAGTCGGTCATCCCGGCGAGGCGGCATTCTTGAACGCTTCCTCTCTTCTTTCTTTTCGACCGAGTTAGACCTCGGTTTGCCCACAAATTTTTTGAAGTAGCCATCTTGATTGAGGTCTTCAATCTGGCGTTTTAACTCCCAGCAATTTGACGTATTGTGGCCGTGATCGCGATGAAAACGGCAGTACTTATCTTTGTTGCGATTTTCTGGGTCTCCTCGGAGCTTCTCAGGTTGTTGAGGAGCTTTTCCATCCCGCTCTTCTCGATGTTCGTAAATATCTCGGAGATGGGGATGGTGGTTAGAGTGTATCGTTCATAAGGTCGGCTCCGGATGGAGCCGCCCTTCGACCTTCGGTACTCTGTTCTGCCACTGGAGGAGGATGGTCCCTTATCTTTGGACTTGACATCAGTCCTCCTCCTTTCCTGGCTAAGTTTCTTCGGATCGATCTGCTTTTCAAGTCGGCCAGTCTTGGTTCGGAGGAGCTCCTGCCCATCAATGACTTTCTTCGCCTTCTGTAACACTTCGGCGAAAGTGGCTGGAGCTTCCTCTCCAAGTTTTACGGTTAAGGCCTCATCGGCCAGGCCAGTGAGGAAGTAGCACATAGCCGAATCGTCAAAGCAGTGCACGACCTTAAGTTGCTCTTCCTGGAACCGTGTGACATATTCTCTCAGCGTCTCTCATTCCTTCTGCCTGATGGTGGCAAGGTGAGTTGCTGTCTTTCTATCATAATGCCGAGAGGAGAACTCACTGATGAACTCCTTCCTCAGCTTGGAGTAGGTCGAGATCGACCTGGCCGGCAGTCTTCGGTACCACAGGCGCGCGCTACCAGTAAGCGCGATCTGGAAGGCGCGGCATTTGATCGCATCCGTCGCCGCTTGAAAGTCCATGGGCCCTCGAAAACCTCAACATAATCTTTAGGGTCCTTAGACCCGTCATAGGGCTTCATGGCGGGAGTCTTGAACTTCGGAGGGATTGGAGCCTCCAGGATGTCCGCGGTGAATGGCGATTCTCCCAAGTCGCCATCGTCGAACGAACAGTCTTTCTTCTCGCACTTGGCCTTAAGCGCCTCGACCTACTCACCGAACTTGTGCTTCATCAGGTCGAACTCTTCCCTCGTGATCACAGCTTCCGGCTCTCGAGATGCTCTCTTCTTCTTTTCAGTGAAATGCTTTCTCAAATCGTTGTCTCGCAAGCTGTAATCCACACCCCCATCATTGGGAATGGGCTCGCGATCGCCAGGTTGGATAGATGGAGCTCCCTTTTCACCGGGTGCGCCCGGAGCCATAGAGGGAGACGCAGTTCGGTTAGCACGCGTTGCCTCGGCATACATTTCTTCCATTGTGCGCAACCGATGGCGCATATCATCCAACTCGCGCTGAAGAGTAGACAGAGCTTCAGGGTCTGCTGCCTGGTTGGCCCTTTGGGAGGTTTTTCTCGACGTCCCTCCTCGGCCTCTGTTGGCTTTTGAGGGTTTCGGGTGAGCAGGTGGTAGCTCTTGGTTCGCATGACGGGCAGATCTGCGCGGCAGATCTCCCTCTTGCCCTGCTCGAACCTGGTCCTCGACTATTCTTGCACCGAGGTCTCGCTGAGGGACGTTATCAGCGTTCACACCCCTCTGTTCTGTCGTATTGGCCGAGTTTGCTGGATGCACCATTTTTGCGTATATTTTTTTTAGATCGGGATGACTTAAGATGTCGTTCCCACAGACGGCGCCAAATGTTTATGCAGGAATCTGCACAACGGTTCTTCACGAATCGAGCTCGAACCCGGTCTCCGGTTCCGACCTGAACACTAGAGTGGACCTGCACAAGANGTTTATGCAGGAATCTGCACAACGGTTCTTCACGAATCGAGCTCGAACCCGGTCTCCGGTTCCGACCTGAACACTAGAGTGGACCTGCACAAGAGGGTGAACACTCCGACGCTCAAGTCAGTATAGATCGGACTCCTTATTTAGTTCGAGATGAGATTCGATACCTGAGCGTGGAATGAAGCCCTCTATTGATAGGTGACGGATCCGACAGCATGCACGACCGGCGGTTACATGTCTTTTCTCATATCGGACCTGTCGGGTCCCGAGCAGGTCGGAACACAGTCAGGTCGAACTTTGGTGCCCATACTTCAACTTTTAAGGGGCAAACTCGGTTCACCTCGGCGGGGCCAAGGTGGACCTAGGCAATCCTTTTTATCTAATTTCTTAAAACACCAATAATGGTCCTCCACGTGTCCTGGGTAAGTTTACCCCCAAACACCTTCCATGATTAATACTCACTATGGTTTTTTGGATGTTTTTAATGCCATAGGTAATGAAATTTTCGTGCATCCATCGGACGACCAAGTGGAGGAGGCGCGTAGACTTATTTGTAGACCACGTAAGACATGGACCATCTCAACCATGGGGAAGCTTTCCTTAAAGCCCCTTGACATTAATGAGCAAGCGACAGTTTGGATGTATGTGGTGAAGAACAGATTGATACCCACTTCTCACGATTCCTCTATTAAGCGCAATAGGGCGATGATGGTGTACATTCTCATGAAGGGCGTTGAGTTGAACTTTTGGGAACTCATAAGAAATGAGATACGGAGTTGCTCGGAAAAAATGGTAGGCCCACTTGTTTTTCCTGGACTAATAACTGAGTTATGCTTGCAGGCGGGAGTGGAGGCCGCTGATGCCAATGTTGTGATGCCCAAGAAGCCGTTCACATCCCTAAGAAGAGTTCGGGGGTATTCCATTGTTCGAGAGCAAGATTCTCCCATTACCGCTGTGGATCCCGAGACCCGAGGGGTGGTGACTAGGGAGCAGTATGACGAGCTTAGGCACAAGTATGAGCTTTTGTTAGTTACTCAACGTGCTACATGTGCTTTCCTTTAGAAGATATACGGTGATGAAGCACCTTCTTTCCCCGATGAGCTGGCGGCCGATTTACCATCTTCTTCACGTCTTCCTACCGATTCCAATGACGATGAGTCTTCCGATGATGAATAGGGGAGTATCTCCCTCTCTTTGTTTCGATATTTGGATCTTGCTTTTGTATATTAGGTTGTTTAGTTTAGGTTGTTTAGATTAGTTAGCATATTAGGCTGTGTAGGTTGTTTTTGTTCTTTTAGTTTGCATGATAGGTTGTTTAGTTTAGTTTTTGTTTTAGGTTAGTGTTGGGATGTTGTGCTGTTAGGAAGGTATACATGTTGTGTTTTTGCATCTGTTTAGAGTTCAAGCTTGCATGCTTCCTTGTTCTAGCTACTAGCTTGTCCTTAGCTTATTTAATGCATCTTTTCTAAGACTATCAACATGTTCTTTTTTTTTTTAATGAAATTCTTTCCTTTGTTCTTTGTTTTTGTATCTTGTCGATGAGGATTCTTAAAGGCATGAATAGATTAGATTTCCTAGTTTTATGATCAAGCCATGAGTCATTTTCCATTCTTTTTGTTTTGATTATAAAACTGTGTTCTGCTTCTTTTTGTTTTGAAACCTTAACTTTTTCATTACTTTAGAAGTCCTTGTCCTTTTTGTGCCAAAATTTTGCATCTCCCAAAATTTCTTTCCCCAGTGAGGACACTGTTTCCCTTAAGTTTGGGGGGGACAGTGTGTGTCTTTTTGTTTTAAGAAAGAAAATGCATTTTATGTTTTGCAAAAAGAGTCAAGAAAGAAAATGCAAGCAATAAAAGAGTCATATGCAAGAAATTTTTTTTTTCTAAAGAAAGAGTATGAAAAAGAGTCCAAAAGAAGAAAAGCAAGTCAAAAAAGTATCATGAGTGAAAATAAGAGTGGGAGAAAGAAAAATAAAAATGAGAGTAAGAAAAGAGTGGTAAGAAACATGAGAGGAAAGAAAACGCACTTACTTTTTCTCGAGTCCCACTATAGACATTCATTTTCTTAAAATGAGTGGCATTAGCATCTTGGAGGGTGGTAGCCTACATATTAAGGTGACTTCGTGAAAACCATTGTCGACATCATTTTATGCCGGGTTGCTACCTAACAAGTTTCTATGAGTGGCTGTGGTTTGAAACCGATGTTAGTGTGTTGAAAACCTCAGGGGCTAGTAGCCGGTCCACTTGATGTTAAAATTTTTGAATCAAAATGGAAGTGTGCATATTCCATGGTTTTGTAAAAGAGTTTTGTGTTTTAGAAAAGAAGAAGATTTAGAATCGTTTTTATTTTCAAAACAAATTATGGTTTATGGATGTTGGCTTGAGAGTAAAATTAGGACGTTTAGCTTGTGGAGCCTTTCCTGAGACTCATATGATTCNTCAAAATGGAAGTGTGCATATTCCATGGTTTTGTAAAAGAGTTTTGTGTTTTAGAAAAGAAGAAGATTTAGAATCGTTTTTATTTTCAAAACAAATTATGGTTTATGGATGTTGGCTTGAGAGTAAAATTAGGACGTTTAGCTTGTGGAGCCTTTCCTGAGACTCATATGATTCATTTACTTAAAACATTTGGATTGTTGATCATTCATATTTTCAGCATGTTGATTGTTTTAGATTTTTTGTTGTTGTTTTTGCTTGAGGACAAGCAAATGGCTAAGTTTGGGGTGTGTTAGGGTTGACTTTTTACTGCAGAAACATGTGTCGGTAGACCTGTTTGACCATGTTTTTGACCAATTTCCCATTATTATTTTCCAAAAAAGACCACATATTCTTAAAGTAGAACATACATAGATTATTTATGCATAAAAGTTAAACTATGATACTTTAGGAAAAATATGAGATAAATGCGGTCAAACTTGGAAGAAAATAACAGAATTTTGTCTTTTGCAGAATTGCGCCTTGCGCATTTTTGGAGGGCAATTTGTCAAAACGCGCGTTTTGATTAATGAAGGGCAAGGAGGACATTTCCCACATGTTCAAAACCGTGAGTTCAAGTCCAAGTGAGGTGGTTAGGTGAATCTCAACCTTTTTCCACTTAAAATGGAGGGGAGTTTCAACCAACCTATGGTGCTATAAAAGGAAGCCATTCATTCCTCAGCAAATCATCCTTTCCAAGGTTCATTTCATCTTTTTCTAGATGCTCTCTAGTTGTAGAACAC